AAATAACTTTTTGTCATATTTACTGAAACTTTCACTATATCCTGACAGTAGTACATGAGACAGATAATCTGTGAAACAATCAGGTTCCTCTGGCTCATTATAGTGCTCCTATTGGGATTTGCGACAATCTACCAAACAACCAATCAGAGCTGAGCTGAGCTACTGTCAGGATATAGTGAAAGTTTCAGCAAATATGACAAAAGCTTATTTCTATAAAACCTACCTACTGCAGCTTTAACTGTTTGTCATTTAAGGACATAAAGAGTTTATTTTGAAATAATTTTCTCCAATTGAGTAGCCTTTACATGTACTTACACTGTTTAAAAATTCAGTACTTGTACTTTTATCAGTCAGCCTGTCAGATTTGATTTGGAGTTCACATCAGAAGTAGGCTAAGTAATAATGTTATAAAGGAAACTAGCTGTATATAAAGTAGCTGAGCTCCACCTCAACCAACTACAACAATAAAATGCTACTCATACTTAATGCACCAGGTAATACAATAATGTAAACCAAACACTGGCAGGGGCAATTCTGTATAATGAGTCATTTTACTTTTTGTACTTAAAGTACATTTTGCTGATAATATGCTACTTCAACTCAAGTAAAATTTAGAATGCAGGACTGACGATACACTAATAAGGTTTACATTAATAACATATAGTAAGATTAAACATTATTTAAAGATCCCCTCCAGACATCTATTAAGACAGCATGCTTGGAACAGTAATGTGTGTTTGATATCTTTCTGCTAAAAACCTCCTTCTACCTCTTTAAAAATGTCTTTCTCTTCCTTAGCATCCTAATTAAATTCATTTTAATTTAGTTCAACAAAGAGTACAGCCCAAGGCACAAGTTCATTCTTTGTATTTGTCTTTCTCAGATCATGGAGGATTCTGCTCCACGTACCGGTCGCTCTATGTTTGCGTGTCTGGTGGGAGCGTCACAGTTGCTGGGTGTGACGTCAGTGGTGCTGACCGGTGTGTGGATGGGTCACTACCACGGGGGCTTCGCCTGGAATGGCTCAGCACAGGAGTTCAACCTGCACCCTCTGTGCATGGTGCTGGGGCTGGTCTTCCTGCACGGCGACGGTGAGTCTATACTGATCACTGATTACTGTCAGTCTCAGAGGAAGCTGTACAGTTTCACTATCCCAAAATTCATTTTATTAACATTTTTATGGACGTCTTCTACTTCAATGGACAAAAGGTATCAACGTTGAAAGGCTGTAGTTACATGTGCCCCAGACTGCTTAACACCACTTTAAATGTATTGAATGATAAACACAAACTTGTTAAGGCTATCGTATCGCATTAAAAAGTGAGGACCTGATTTGCCTAACTTTGAGTTAGCATGTCAACACACTAATGCTACATTAGCATTAATTTTATATGCATATCATTTACCTTGGAAGTCTGAAGTCAGAGCTGGGAATGACATAACACCTGTTTTGACCATGTTCTAGTACAACAAGTCGATAGACAAAGCTAGCAATACCAGTTGATAACGCCGGATTTTGTCCATACAAACACCTTTGCAGCATATCCACAGACAGACAGTACTGTATGTACGACTGATTTAATAACAGACATAAAAGACACAAGTGCTAATAAACAGTATATTACTACATCTTACAGCCATCTTGGATTTTGAGGTCTGGTTGGTAAGGTTCTTCTAACTTTCCTAGTTGCAAATCTGACTTCAGGGGGTGTTCCAGTTGAAATTCAGTCTTCCCAGTTCAAATGGAACACACCATTAATGCAAGGCTGAGGCTGAAAGAAATCTGGTCAATGCACCAAAAAGAAAAGGGTCGAAAAGGGTCGCTGTCGCACAAAGCGAGCTACTCGCCAGCTTGTGAATGTGAACGTCCATGATGGCAAGCAAGGAGTGGCAGACCCATTGACCTGTTAGCGGTGCTACATGAAAAGTTAAGATTCATAATCTGGGTACCATGAATGTCTGTACCAAATGTCATGGCAGGTTATTTCACATTGGACTAAAGTGGTAGAATGACTTACTGACCAAAAAAGGGTCAGTCTGAATTGTAGCAAATCTGGTTGAGAACCACGCCAAACTGACTGATCCACTTTATACTACTACATTCAGTACAGAACTATATTAATTCAGACAGTTGAGGAGAAACAGGGCTAAGAGTCTACAGCCACGTGAGCGGCTCTGTATGGCCGGTTGCGATGCGTCCACAATGCAAATGTAAAAATGTAAATGTAAAAAAAAATAATTGCAATGCAATTATATTTCAGGCCTAAGGCTGTAGGCACATCGGTGTGCTAATATGCTCACAGTGGCAGTGTAAATAATATATTTTCAGCAGGTATACAGCGTGGAAGTCCTGTGGTCCATTAGCTTCTGTAAGTCAGTGCAGTCTCTCCTTTAGCATTCCTTTCATAACTGGACAGATGGTTTGTTACATGGAACCATCTGGGAAGTCGTCATTGGAAACTGTCTGGAAAAGGGCAGGGACTTTCAAAAAATACTCAGCAGGTGATTGAATGAACCATCTGTCTATTACGTCTATCTCTAGTTCTGATATAACTGATGCTAGCATCATCTACGCTAACCTCTAAAGGAGTTGCCGTTGTTTAACAAACAGTGTCTGCTTGCTGCGTCACACCTAGCGCCCACCCTGTAGCTGCCAGTACTTCCACAAAGGATGCTGATTGGTCCGTAACCACTGTCCTGGCCAACAACACACAGATTTAAGCCTGGAAAGACGGATTCTCTTGTGATCTTGCGAGTCCAGCTGCTTCGAAAGGATATTTCTTCCATCTGCCTTTCTGAAAACAATAAAGCGTATTTCTGCCGCTTTATTGTTTATTATTCCATATTCAACGACAAATGGGCATCCACTACAGCACTTGCCATTGCAAATCGAAACCTTTGTGATCTCAACAAAGTCAATGTACAGATAAAACAGCTTCCATGAAAAGCAGCACATGTATATTACTTATGTTATTGAAACTGGGTTTTGGGTCATCAAGTGTGAACCTATGGTGAACATTAAAATAGATTGTCCTTGCAGGAAGTGAGCTGTTGTCTCTGCCTACCACATCGCTGACATCACTGATATCTTCTGATTAACCCTGCTGATCTTAAATCAGATTGTAGTCATGGTTACACCATGTCATTTTCAGATAACATTCCGTAAATTAAGTGAAACGGGAAGCAGAGGTCAGCAGATCTTGGATGCTGTATTTTAGTCAGCCTGTTTTGTGTGTGTCTGTGGTTATGAGTGTGCACATTAGCCTCAAGCACTCTGTTGCTGACCTGTTGCATTAAGCTAACACTACCCAGACACCCATCAATCCCCCACCCCCACCCAGTAAGTCTGATTTAGAGAGAAGGAATGGTTTGAATCATTGAACATGCCAGTTTGTGTGTGTGTTTTTGGGACATATTCAGTGAAGCTTTGACAGAGTGGCCCCACAGGGAATGGAACCAATGGCAGAGGAAGAGCCAGTCAGAAAACTGAGCAGCGTCTTTCAGCTAAAGGGCAAAGGGGATGCTGTGTGAAGCCATTTGAATAGCCATGTTTGAGGAGTGATTTTGGTTAAATTTAGCTAAACAGTTAGCTTCATGCTCTTCTGTGGATTGAGAAAATCCCACCCTTGTGATGATGAAAGCTTTAATGACCATTTGGACCAATTTAGGTTTGTGGTCAATCTGACAAAAGGCTCATAATAAATGTAAAATGAACAGGGACTCTGGAAAGCAGAGGACATAAGGAATAACGATGGGAATAAAGTGGTCAGTCGGTGGGGTTGCCTCCAAACAAATATTTGTAAATTTTGTAACAATCTAACAAGCCCACCCATTTCATACAATGGCCAATTGGCCAGACGTGAGGACATGTGAACATAGGCAAGATTTGAACTTTTCCCTTAAAGCCCCCCTCCAAACAAAGATCAGTGTCCCTTCCTGTCCCTACAGTGTGCTGTTTGAATGCTGTCTGTGCAGATTTTGACACTAGAAAGGATGTTTTTACATCCATCTGCTGAAAGTGAAAAGTTTCTCTGTGCTCACTGAAAATCAGATTTTAAGCATGATTTGTGACATCACAAATAGTTAGGAGTCAGTCTTGGTCCAGTTTGCAACTTGTACAGTGTGATGTAGAAACTTAAAGCCACCAGTACACATCACATGAGATGGATTTTTGCGGGAAAAAACTATATTATATGTTCCAAGCAGACTATTTGTATATGTCTTAGTAATGTCTGCAGGGGATTTTTAGGACACCAGCATGTAAAGCTTCAAAATGGCTTAGCACATTAGTTCATATTCAGTGAATCAGTGGATTTACTCATAGGGTGAAGTAAATCTTCTCTGTGCAAAAGTGGCCCATATCTGATTGTTTTGCTCATATGCGACTCAAATCTTATTTTTTAATGACAGTGTGAATAGCATAAAAAAATACACAAATAAATCAGAATTGAGCGCTATTGCTTGCAGTGTGAACATAGCTTTGACCCTTGAGGGCCACAGCACAGAGCAAATAGGAAGAAGCTCAAGGTGCTAACATAGGCTAGCACTATTGTGTTCTTTGCTGGCTACTGTTAGCTCGCCAGCTACAGTATCTTACCCAACTAGCCCTGTGAGTAGCCTCTTTGTCACCAAGTCTAAAATATTTCATAAAGACGTGTGGATGAAGACTGGTGCCACATCCTGGGGTGATCAAGCCTTTAAGTCTTCTTATTATTCTACACAAAACTACTTCCTTTATTTTTTTGTGGTTACAGCTGAGTGCAACCACACCATGACTGTCAAAAAGTGTGCTTTAACAATTATTGTCTGTATGAGACTTCTGAGACTGAGACTTTTCACCCCTTCTTCCAGTGTGGCACTTTTGCTTCCGAGATGTTTGGTCACACGTATAGCCCACAAGCTTGATCATTTCAACAAAAGCCTGGCCTTACGTGAACATTGCATTCCTCCAACTTGAAAAGACTGGTGTGAAGATAAAAGGAATGTGTAGCTGTTAGCTCGTACAGCAGTTTTTACTCTTTTATATGCTGTTGGACAGTGCCCTGAATTGGACCAAAAAAAGGTTTCAAGGCTCAACCCTAAACACAACATAACACTAATCCTAATTCTTTTGCATTTAGGAGTACCTCACCAGCATTGCTGTACTTAGGGTTTTAGAAATACCAAGGTCCAAAAAAAATTAGCTTGTTAGGGGCATTAAAGCATCTAAGCAAGCGAGGTCCATAATGGTGTACCCTCAATGGTGGGTACACCCATAAAGACAGGGTGGCAGTACTCAGAGGTAAAGGACATTGTGGACAATCAGACACCAGTACAAATCCTGCACTGCAGCAGACTTAAAAGAAGAATGCATATAAAATGTTAAACTTGTTCTTTTAAGGTTGAAGCTTAAAGCTGTGTATCGTGGCCAATTTCCTAAATCGATTCGATTTCGATTCATAAAGGTTCTGAATCGATTAATCACGATTCGATTCGATTTGATCGATTCAATTCAATCTGCTCTTAAATAATGAAAATGGGGCAAAAACAAAAGAAACTGAGACTAAGCCGATTCTCCGCGGGCCATAATGATAACAGAGGCCATACAACTTTGTTTGCAAAGATTTACGCCCGTACGCGGTAGTGGAAAACGAAGGCTTCAAACGGCTCATTCAGGTGCTCGAACCACACTACGTTATGGTGCGCAGAGAATCGGCTTAATGTTAGTGATTCCCTCAGTTTCTTTGTTTTGCCCCGGACGCTTGTTGTGGGAAGCTAACGTAGCGTAGTGTGATACCTGTCAAGTGGTTCTGAGGTTTGTAGTAATTTCTACAATAACTGAGCTCCGCTTGGCAGATCTTGCAACGCTTTGGTTTTATCCAGCTCTTTGTCCTTTTTTGTTTAAATCCAAATGGTTCCAGACGTCAGACTTTAGTTGGGATGGCTGGCTGAGGGGGTTTTACCTGCGTCGGTCATTTTGTGTATGCATGCTTGTGCGCTTG